TTAAGTGGGAGAACTTGCACAATTGGTGGCTGACTAAATACTTTTTTGCCCCAGTGTAACAACTGATATTCCATTTAAACAATGGCAAGGCATCTAAATTTGTGTGGCAAGGCAAAAAACCATGAATTAAGAATAAATTTTACAAGATGATAAAGAAAGGGGAGTTTTAGGTCTCCTGGATTTGAAGTTGTATTTTGCAGCTTGTTTGGTTTGGATGAAAGAGTGGGTGACTTTGAGAAATAGGTCATTGGAACTAGAGGGGCATGACCTAAGTTTTGGGTGGCATGGCTATTTATGGTATGATAACGTTAAAGTAGATTTTAAAGATATTTTATTAAATGTGCCATACTGAGAATATGGAACAGATATAAACCTAGGTTGTCTCCAAAGTTTCCTTTATGGTTGTCACCACAAGAACCTTTTCACAGGAGAGAAATGATAACTAAACATAAATGGTTAATTTACGTTGACGTATTGGAATTTTTTCAAATGGATTTTAAATTAAAGACAGAGGAACTGATATCAGGATACATGTGTCAATGGTTTTCCTAGGTACAATTACAAGAAAGATTTAAAATGGATAAAGGGACTTATGATTCTGAATATGGCAAGACTGAATTTGAAGCAGAATTAAGTACTAATGATGAACGTATTATTGCCAAGATGTATAAACTTTTATTGAAACTAGAGACAGAAGATGAACAAGTTAAGGACTGAATGATAAAATGGGCTAAAAACTTTGGCTACAACATACAGATGGAAAATGGGAAAATATGTGGCAAAAAGGACTGAAATTTACATTGTGCTATAACGTTAAAGAGAACTTTTATAAAATGATGTATCATTGGTACTTGTTGCCAGAAAAATTATCTAAAACATATAAAAATACTTCGAATGTATGCTGGAAATGTGAACAAGAAGGGACATTCTATCATCTGTGATGGACTTGTATACAAGCAAAAAAAACTTTGGAATGAGATACATATTTGCGTACAGAAGATTTTAAAGATTGATATTCAATCAAAACCAAAGACTTTCCTTTTGGGATTGATGGATAAACAGTTGGAAAAAACTAATGGAACTTTGTTTTTATATATGAAAACAGCAGCAAGGCTTTTATGGGCACAGAGGTGGAAAGATAAGACATTACCTACAATGGAAAACTGGATAGTGAAGCTGATTGAGTTGGCTGAGATGGTGAAATTGACGGCTTTGATTTGTAATAAGACATTGTGTAATTTTAATGCTAACTGGAACCCTTTTTTGGACTTTTTGCAGGAAACAGAAAAAAATGAAATTATGTTGTATGGATTTGATGATTAGAAATAAGGGTTAATAGAAATAATGGAAGTTATATTGTTAATTTAGAGCAAGAATTTAATGTATATTGTTACTTATATCTGTTGCAAGGAGGGTCGGAAGTCAATCCTTTTTTTTAATCTTTTGTTTTCTCTTTTTTTCTGGACTCTTGATCTTTACTATTCTTTTTTTCTAATGTTTTTCTTCTTTTTCTTAATATTAGTTCTTGTTAGTTTTTACTGTTTTTTTTAAGTTTAATAAAGTTATTAAAAAAAAAAGAAAGAAAGAAATGTGGCTCCTCTCCTCAACTGTTATTGAGATTATGAACCAGCCGAAGAAAGTATGTCTCTCTAGTTACTGTAAACAAAATTAATGCTAGCGGCATCAGTTCAAATATAATGGAGGATAACATTCTTTCATCAATACTGCAGTAAAATTCAACTGGTAGTTCATGTCAACATGCAACACCTGCTGTGCTTCGAGGCCATAAAGTGCAGGGCATGATGGATGGTGGATAATCAATATGCCTTCATTCTCACTTGCAGTGAAGCTTCTTATCTAGTCATGTCATGCCATATGTCTGAGAGACTTCAGCCAAGTCTAAGTCTAGCTGCCAAAGAGTTATGTGAAGTTGGAAGCCTCAGATTTTTTGAAGAGTCCTGGCTAGGGAGGACAGGGCTCTCTGTGAAAGTGTGCAAAGTAAATCAGTAAGGGTGCTCCACCACAAAGAACCCACCTAAAATTTAACCCTTTACTAGTACTTCCTAACACGTGGTCCAAAGTGCATGGTCATTAATCTCCAAAATTGAACTAGTCCCTGAATTTAGCAGAATAAACCAAAGACAATGTCTCTCTATATATCAGCAGTGCAATTCAGCATCAAGGGAGATCTAAATCAGGTCTGCATAACGTATGGCCCACAGACCACAGGTGGCCTGCCCAGTAGCCTTGTGCAGCCCAGCATTTTTTGAAAACTCAATAAATTCACCACTGCTAAACATCACCAGCCCCAGAAAAGAGGCATTGCTGCCCCAAAAGACACACTGCCAAGTGCCTCCAGGCTTCACATATGCTGCTAACTCAAGACCTGCTGCCGCTCTGCTAGCCACCAAACCGCTGATTGGCGTACCAGGTATTTCTTTGTGGCCCAGAGTTATTTTTAATTTATCAATGTGGCCCTTTCTCCTCTACAAGTCGTGCAGGCCTGATCTCAGTGCATCTGCCACTTACACTTAAGCAGTTAATACAGATGTTGCCTCTTCTGTGAATGTACCTTCATGCCAAGTAGAGTGAGACTTACTGCTCACAACCAGCGTGCCTAATCAGAGTCAAAAGCCATGACATGACATGAAAACTATCCCATTTGGATATGAAGTTAGACAAAGATTAATAGAAGCACTCAACAGAAAAAACAAAAAATTGGCTCAGACTTTCCTCTCATGTTGGAGTGATCAACACACTGATACATTTCTGCAACCCACCAATGAAAGATAATGTTTTGTGTGTGCATACCTAGGATGAAATTTTTGTTCATGTACCAGGGATAATAAAAGAATATTTTACCTCAGATTTCATTTGTCTCTTGTAAAAACAAAATAGAAACTTCATAGTACAAGATCTGCGGCCAACCACTTTTATAGGTCAAAATCAAAGTAATTAATTATATTTAACAAATAGTTTTTATTTGTTAAATATAATTAATTACTTTGATTTTGACCTATAAAAATAGTTGGCAGTAGATCAGCATTCAGTGAGATTACAACACAGCCTACATTATCTGTAAGAGAACTGGGCAAACTTTTTACCTGTGAAAGTGACATCAGATGATGGATTTGTAATGGGTGATCAATTAATTTACCCACATCTTTCTCCCAGTTACCTTGAGTGGAGTGCCTGGGAGATAAGGAGATGCTGCACACTTCTGCCCCATTCCCTCCCGCATAAAACCCTTCTTTACAAATCAGTTTTTCTGTTGCTTGCCGGCTTTCCTTCCTTTTCCTAGCAAGTCTGCTAACAGCAATGGGAAGCCAGTAAACAGTTGCTGGAAGGATCAAGCAGAACTTACAGGACACAATTTATACCTAAGTTTGTAAGTTTCAGGTTGTCTTAGTTCTAAGGAGAAAATTATTTCTATTTTTAAAAGTAGGCAAATTAATCCCGTAACTGACTTTGGTAGTGATTGCATATTGCCAAGCAAATCTTCATCTGGATTCACATAACATATTAAGCCCTAATTTATTTTAATCATAATTTGTTGAAGCATACATAGTGGCCTCATTCACAAATACAGATAGTCCTCAAGTTATGACCACTCATTCAGCGACAGTTCAAAATTACAATGGCACTGAATGTGGGGGACTTACAACCAGTCCACAAAGTTGTGGCCATAGCAGAATCGCTGCAGTCATGTGATTGCGATCCGGGTGCTTGGGTGCCCAGCTTGCAATTACAACGTGGCAGTGAGCTGTGTTCACATGATAACCATTTGCAACATTCCTTGCCAGCTTCCCACAAGAACTCAATGGAGAAGTCATCAGGGAAGGTCACAAGTCACTCCCATAAGTCACTCCCACTGCTTTTTCTCCGGAGGAGTCCCCCTACGGCATACAACATCCCAGGGACCTTGTAATATGTAGCACCCCCCGGCCTGCCCACACTCAGTAGTGCACACATGCCCACAGCTTTCACCGGCCTGCCCACAACCCCCGCCAGCCCGCTTGCAGCCCCCACCAGCCTACCCATACATCCTAGTACCTGCCCACAGCACCCCCCACCCCCCATGGCACCCATGCACTCCCTTGTGCTCTTGCCCAGGACCCCTGCCTCTTCCTACTTCATGACCCGCAGAGTCCTGGGGTTACGACAGCAACTGGGACTGCCAGGATTGCAGTCACTAAGCAATGCAGTCATGTGATGTCACACTTTTTGACCACATTGCTTAGAGATGAAAATTCTGTTTCCAATTGCCACCATAACCCAAAGACTACCTGTAAACCCTGGTTCAATAATGCTTTAGAAATCAGAATGGATGTGAATTCATTGCACTGAGCCATAATGTGGTTTTAATTGTTGCATGAACCAAACAAGTTACTATATAACCTGTCCAACAAAGTATAATTACACAAGCCAAAGCTCAGTGTGCTGGGTGAACCAGATTTGACTGCCTGTTTTGGTCCTGCCTTAGCACTCCTGGCATAAAACACTGATCAGTTTGCAAATGTGTGTTTTTGTTGTTGTTGTTGTTTCTTATTGTTGAAAAACTGCTTAATTTCCCATGAGATATTTTTATATGGAAGGGGGTATCTTTGAGAATAACTAAGAAATTCTACGGCAACATGATTGGCAGAGGAACTAGAACTGATTTGAGGACTCTGTTTTTGAACATAAGAACTTTCTGTTTTGTACAAATGCTTCTATTCAGTTTGACAGCAGAAGTCCTGTGGAATAGTTCTTTGCATTTCATTTACAGGATGCACAATGCCCTGAGGCCTTTTTCTTTCTGGCTTCATACAGACATCAAACATTTTGCTATTGGTTAACACAAGCTCTTGATGCCACTATGACTTGGCAAATATTTAGAGTGAGACTTCTGATAAAACTTTCCAATCTTCCCCTTTCTGTTCTTCATTGTTCAACTACTCCAATTTACTTGCTGTATACTGTTTTATTTCTCCAGGAATTTTTAGGAATCTGGAATTAAACATGAAAAAAAAAGTATTCAACTTTTTTTCTGATGATCCAAAACCCAAAACTCTCTCTCTCTCTCAGTAATACATACACAGATACACACACACACACAAACACATAATTCAGGGAGGGAGGAAGATGGATCCCTATCAAGTAAAGTATTATGCGAATTCTACAAGTCAGGCAGTGCTGCACTGGATATACTAATGTCCCTGCTTTGTTACATGAAAAGCAAAGAAACTTAACTCCTTGTAAAGCATAGAAAACATTTTCTAAATTGCTTTAATTTACAGGTGGTCCTCGCTTAACATTGGTAATTGCGACCGGAATTTCCATCACTAAAGACCTCATCGCTCCTGGCTGCCATTGTTAAACGAGGATCTTAAGTGAGGATCATGGGTTGTTATGCAGGGATTTCATGTGACCATGACTTGCAACTTCCTGCCGGCTTCCAACAAGCAAAGTCAATGGGGAAGTCAGCAGGAAGTTGCAAGACCCAGTCACAACAAACCTTTCCTTTAGGCAGCTTGCAAGCAGGCTGGTGGGCAGGTGAGTGCTACGGAGTGCAGCAGGTGGAGAGGGTACTGGGTGTGAGTGCAGGTGAACAGGGAGATGGGTGGTGTGACCCAACACAAGCACAGCAGGCATGTGGGTCTGCTGCAGAGTGTAAGCAGACATGCAGGTGGGTGCTGCAGCCTGGCACAAGCACGGCCAGGCAGGGGGGTGAGTGCTAGAGAGTGCGGGCAGGCATGCAGGTGGGTGCTGCAGCACAAGTGTGGGTGGGTGGGAGGATACTGTGGCCCAATGATACTGAAGCTGGGTGGGGGGGATACTGCAGAGTACAGGCAGGAGTGGGTGCTGTCCTGTGGTGGATCTCGTACTCCCTTAGTGGGAAAAAAAGTTCTGGGAGCAGGAGCGACTTATGAGAGCAACTTGTGACCTTCCCTGTCAGCTTCCCCATTGACTTTGTTTGTGGGAAGCCGGCAGGAAAGGTTGCAAATGGTGATCATGCGACTGCGGGATTCTGCAACTGTCACAAGTGAGAGCCGGTTGCCAAGCGTCCAAATTGTGATCGCGGAATCACAGGGTGCTGCAACAGTCAGAACTTCAAGGGCTGGTCATAAATACCACTTATTCAGCACCATCGTAACTTTGAACAGTCACTGAACGAATGGTTGTAACCTGAGGACTACCTACATTTTACAATTATGCCTTATACTTGGTAACAGTTCCTGTAAACAGAAGCAAAACAAAAGCAAAAAGCAAACCATAGTAAAAAGAGAAAAAGAGTTAGATCAAGTGCTAAACCAGGTTTTCATATTTGAAGTAAAAATAGTTTGATGTATTGGATCATTTATATTTAGTGTGGACTCACTTTCTACCCCAGAATACAACCATTGCTTTCTGAACACATTGTGAACACGTGTTTCACATCAAGTGCCCTGAATCTTTCTTAGTTATATGAGATTCCAGCTAAGCCTCATTACTCCAAGATTACAATTATATTATAAAAATCCACATTTACTCCTGAGTTCTGAAAAGCATTTGGATCAAAAGTGTGCTACTAGTCCCATTTCTTACTTGCACAGAACAGCTTACAGTTACAAGCTCAAGTATTACAATGCAGCTGTAATTCACTTTGTTCACAAGGGGTCATGCCCCAGATTTTCCAGGGTTCAAAGAATAAAGTTGTAATGAAGGAGGAAAAAAAACATCCCAAGAAGTTCAAAAGAGTTATCAGTCACACTTAAACCTTAAACACCTAGATCCATCCTCCCACAAGAGGAGCTGTATAAGAAAATTATTCAGATGGGTAAAAATGCACTGCAGCAAACCAGAAAAAGGAAACAGACTGCCTGTACAACATCTTCCAACAAAATGGATACCCATGCAATTTTATCAAAAAGTGCCTGACCCCTCAACCCACTACAGCACAACCAACACAAGCTATGAAAAGGGTAACACTGCCATACATCAGAAACACCTCAGAAACAACCAACGGACTATTACAATCACACGGCATCACCATAACACACAAACCAAATAAAGCCCTCCAAAATATCTTAAGTAAACCAAAAGACCCAGTAGCCCAAGAAGAAAAAACAGGAGTCATTTCCAACATACAATGTAAGAACTATAACAGCAACTATGTAGGACATACAGGCAGAAGACTAGCAGAGCACATC